GGCTCCGTGGCGGGGCCCGGGGAGGGCGGCCGAGGGCCGCGGCCGCCTCCGCCCGCCGCTAGAAGTGAAGTCAGGCCGCGCTGGCGGCTCGGGTCCTTGCCTGAGCCGGTGGTGTATTTCTGGTAGGCGTCAGGCTACCCCACGGCCGAGCCTGGTGGCTGGCGGTGGCCTTCCCCGTGCCCGGTGGGCGCGGAGCCGCGCGCCGGGGCGGGCTGGCCGCTTCCCAGGGGCGATGTCTCCGGGAGGCTCTGTGAATGGAGCGGTTTAATTCACCTCGCCTGCCGTCTCCTCTTCTGCAGTGACGTAGTTATGAAAAAGGCTGTTAACTACTTGCAGGTAGCTGCAGAGGTGCTGCCAAATGGGCTGTTTTTCTGCTTAGCTGCTTATTTGATTTCTCGAGTGTTTTGCTGGGGAAGAGGGTTCGGTTCCGGAGGGAAAACGTGAGAGCGGTGCAGTGCCTGTGGGTTACCGTGCCCCAGAGGGAGGTCTGTATGAGAAATCCACAGAGGCCCATGTGGAAACATGGCAAGGAAGACTTTCTTTACGTGTTTCAAGTTTTATGATTAGGAGATGTGTTTTCAGTACATCTGCAGCAGGAACCAGAAATTAAGTACACCTGGCTACAAAGTAGAAAAATCCTCCTGATGTGTTCTTTTGAGAACTGCTCTTGCGTCTCATGGAAAGTTAATTTTTGCAAAGAGAGTTAACACAAAGCACTCTTAGAAACATATGAAAATAAATTTAACTCCAGTTCCACAAATATCACTTCCCTTCCCTTAGCATTTCAAAGTTACTTATAATAAATTAACATAAGACCTAAACCTATCCATTGAAACAAAGAGGTGGTAAACCCAAAGTAGATACTCTGAATTCACTGTCCTCTGTTTGGTGATAGCGTAGGTTTTTTGTCTCATGTTCCTGTTTGGAAGTATAGATTGTTATGCTGCCTAAGGTTAGCATTCAAAAGGAGCTTTAGCTTGAAAGTAGCCATTGTCTCCTGCTTCCTGAGAAATATGGCTTAACTTCTGTGTTAGATGTGATACAACATCGTTAGAGGGCAGGGAGTACCTGAAACTTGAAGGTAATAGTGTCAGCCTAGTTGGGATGACAGAAGAAAGGTAGTGAAATGCCTTTAATCCTTGTAACGCATAAAGGACTTGCACTAAAATAGAGAATATTCTTTCCTTATCATTGTTACAATATAAAACCAGGGGATTTCAAGGGATTGTTGTATAACAGTAGTACCTTGGAGCAGGTTGGATGGGGGACAGCAGGATGAGTAATATCATGGTTAATGCATTACAGCTCTTAACTGTCACAACACTGCAATGTTAATGTGTCCAGAATTTTGTTTTTGAAAAAAAATAGATTTTGAGTCTTAAAAAATTAAAACCACTTAACCTTGTAGAAAGGGAGAATGTTCAATCATGAAGAAGGAAGGATGTCTTGAAATATTGTCACTTTTTTTTTTTCTACCAATGCGTTTAAGTGATGCATTTAGTAAGTCTTGGGCATTTTTGCTAATAAATAGTCAAATCCACTCCTGCAGTAATTGCAGTAATGTTACATTAGGCAGGAATATGGTGCAATTAATTCGCTGTAAGAAAAAAAACCCCAGCCTTATTTCTATCTTGTTTCATAAGAAAGATGTGTAAGTTTCACTTTACATAGCAGGCTTTTCTGCCTTACGCTCCCATGAGTGTAGGTAGTACACTTGTAAGTGCTGGAAGTGGTTATCCCATACATGAGAATATGGACAGAAAAAGGCTTTTGCTATTTTTCAGTATGTTGGAGTATGGCCTTGGTATTGTTACACAGATGTGACCTGGTAGGATGAACTGCAGTGGGTAAAACAACTTTATGTATGAAAACATTACAAGAAAACGCTAGTGTACACAGCTCAAAATAAATGTTAAGTATTTCATGCTGCAGTATAATGATTACTTTTTATTACATTTGAGCACTTAGAAAGCTAGGTATTCTGAATTGTTTTTTCTAGAGGTGATTGGAGGTTTAAATTAATGAGGACCAAATACACTTGTGAATAGGAGCTTCTGGGAGAGACTGGAATCTTTTCACCTTGCTAATGCACACAAATGATTTGTGGGTTAGAAGCAAAATAACCGCAGATACAAGAAGGTGAAGTGTACGACCATAATGAAAAAATTAAAAAGGGAGCAGTAAAATTCTTCTAACTATCTCAACCTGATGTTCCAAAATTACTTTCCACGCTTCCAATTTGAGGTTTTGGTATATATGATATTGGTATATATCTATTTTCTTGTGGTAATACAAAGACTGACAATTTTCTTCCTGACTTGGCTGGCAGCAACTTTTATGTTTTAAGGCTGCTTAGTGTGCTCCATTGTAAACCATAGAGAACAGAAGATTTACAATTTCCTAAATGGTAACCACCTGAATAAAATGAAAGCCTTCTAGCTCAGGCTTAGACTCATTTTGGTAAGGTGCAACAGCAGTTTAGCTGTTTGAGGATGCTAGATAAAAGTAAGGTACATAGTTCTGTATGTGTTATAGTTTTTTTCCTACTTCTCCCCCCCCCCCCCCCCCGGATGTGCTTTAGTTCCTCTCTGGTTTGAAAGTAGATGGTAATCATTTCAGTAAGACCTTTTGCTGTTGCTTGGACTGTACATTGTCATTTGTTTTATGTGAAGTTGCAGGTTGCACTTGCTCACTTGGATCTAGCGCCGTGAAACTCCAAAACATAAGCTCCATTACGCATGCTTCCAAGTTTAAATCGGTATCCCATGGTTATCACTCTTGGATGCTATCTACCTGAAATATTTTGTACTGATTTAAACTAGCTCAACAGCATTAACTCATAGCCTTTTGAAGTGAGATGTATTGCATAGTTCAGGTGAAGGTTCGAGGTCCTGTCTCATTCCATAATTATTTTAAGAAGAGTGGGGAGTAGCAGCAAGATCCACAGAGGCAACTGGGTGTCTGGCCTCATAATAATGGATTTTTAAACCTGATGTCCCTGAGCTTGTGAAAGTCAAGAGCCTCATAGTTGTGGCGTGATCTCAAGATGTAGATTTGCACTCTGAAGCAAAGGAAGGAAGTAAATACAGTTATTCCTTATCACGGGTATGTATTCCCAGCACTGACATTTTTTTATTCCAAAGGGTGTAATGCACATACATTGCACCATCACGCACACAAAATGCTATTTTGTCTTTTAGCTGTGTTTTCAAGAAAAGCGTCGGCCCCTGCATCTTGCACGGAGCTCTTATCTGATACGTGTGATCTCTGCCTGTTAGATTGAGTTTCTCCAGAAGAGATGAGCAGATGAACATAATTACTTCTGGCTACAAAGTAGGTACTTCAGTGGCTTGCGCAACCATCGTATTCTACTGCTCCTTTTAGTAAGGGCTCTTTGAACTCCTCTGGCACTGTGATCAGGCATTAAAGATGTAAGCTATATTATGATTCATTTAAGATACTGTAGACTGTATGCTTTTCACAGTGGAATGGGGCTTCAGTAAAAGTGACTGTCAAGTCACTGTATCTCTTGTGTTCTCTTGGAAAAAAATAAATTCCTTTAACATTGTTTGGCATACTGATTGTTTTTAAAAAAGCTTTTGTTTGGACTAAAATGTTGTGCTTTATATATTTGGCCATATGGAAAGGCAAGACAATGTAAAATATGTGTGGTTTTAAATCACTAATTAGAGAGAGCTAAAACTATAAAACTTACTTGGTGCATCTTAATTGCTGTGAGTAATGCAAAAACTTTGAAATGTAATCCTTGGGAATGCTTAAGATACTAATTATATTCCAACCAGTCAAGGTGCACTTGTTTTGAAACAAGTCTGAGCTGGTCCCTTCTGAGAACCTAGTATTCCCAATGCCAAAGGTACAGAAACAAATTCATTTCTATGAAAATGAGTTACCCTCCAAAACTAGGGACAGACTTCAAAGCATAACATTTTATGACAAGAGGCACTTCAAGATTAACAAAGCAAGGCCCAAATACGCTGAACACAAAAGCTCAGAGCAGAAGAGCACTTAGGTTTGGTCCAGGCCTAGCTGCTAACTGGTATTTAGAATCCTAACTTGCTAATTGACATTAGTTAAATTCTGGAGACCAAGTATGTAAGCTACAGATGCTGTCTTATGGACTCTCCCTTTGAGGCAATTATTCTATTAGTTCTGAAGTTCCTAAGAGATTTTTTTCAGTGCCTTACTTTAGACTTCAGATGCTTTGACTTTTTTTTTTTTTTTTAAATTTTAAGGCATTTCAGAAAACTATGTTTGGTTATCGGACTAGCCAGTTCAATGGACCGCCTAGGTTCAATAGTACATCAAAGTTTTCCATTCTGGAATTGTGACTCTTAAAT